TGAGGAGGTTCTGGAGGAACGTTGTCTCTCCACACTTGGATTAACCTTGAAGTCTCCAGGAGTGATGAACCCAACGTCCTCGATCACTCTCTCCATCTCCATTCCTTCCTCCATCTCTCCACCTCCTTCATGTCTCTCCGACTCATCGTTCAGAACGTGCAGACGCTGGCTGACATCTCGTCCAGCGTTCCTCCTCTGCTCCTCCGTCTTTACGTCTGATTCCTGCTGACAGCTGTCTCTTCTCTCGCCTCCATTTTTCCCTTTTCCTCGTCTTGTCCTCCTCCTCCTCCTCCTCCTCTGTTCGTCTGTCACTTCTCCTCCCTGCATCTGCTTCTGTCACTTCACCGACTCTTTACACGAGTCTGTGCGAGACAATAGTGACAAACAGGACTCACGCTGGTCATCGGGGCATCTGCAGCCTGCCGACGTTCAGGATCAGGACCCGTCTCGAGTCCAACGGGACAGAACATGAGCCCGAGAACAGCTCACAAAACCATCATCATCATCATCATCATCATCAGTATTATTATTATTATTGTTATTATTATTAGAGATGATCCCTGTTTTGTTAATCTGTAGAAAATATTTAGTGAAGTCGATATTTATTATATATTTTTCTGTATTTAATTTGAGAGAAAATCTGTATTTTACGGATATTTGAAACAAAAATTACGCATATTAAGAACCACAAAATTATTCTAAAACTTTTAGCGGTGCCAGTTTTGATTTTCCAAGTTTTAAGTTATAAATAATATTTAGTTAAAATCACACAAAAATCTGATTTTGCATTCAAACTGTAAACCAACACTAATTAAATGTGAAATTACACTATTTTAAAAAAAAATTATATTTAAACCGAGAAAAATTTATTATTTTACTGATTTTTTCCCCATTTTATTAAATAAAAGTCATTATTATCAAGTAACTGTAGAATGTAAACTTTATTTAAATCAGAAAATGTCAGTATTTTACGCAGATTTGTTGTTAATTAAAAGGATAATTCTGCATATTGAGGACTGGAAAATGAAAAATCGTGCTTTCAGTATAATTTTACAGACTTTACAGTTTTTTGAAGTATAGATAATATTTTATAAAATCACAGAAAATAATTTCTTTAGTTGATGATACAGTAAATACTAAAACTTTTTTATTAGGATTGACTCTAAAATTATTATTATTCCTTTAAATTGCATTTTATTCAGAGAATTTAAAAAAAAGTTCTAATAATAATAGGAAATCTAATAATTAGAAAAAGAATACAAAAAATATGATAAAGGATTATTGAAACTGTTATTTTATTATTTAAAAATTTTTTCGATCATAAGTCGATAAATCACAGATAAATTTACATGTTGACTGTAAAACCAAACTGTGCATAATTTTCTCTTTTGCAGTGTTTGACTGTAAAACTACAGCTTGTACTGTATTCAAACCAGTTAAATTACAGATAATATTTTTAAAAAATACAGAAAATAAAGTATTAATTCATATACTGACTGGACAGAAAAAGAAAACGACATAAATCTAAACTGTATTTAAATCAGCTTTAAACTCATTGTCATTTTACTGATTTCTATTTTTATCAGTTTTTGAACGTTACAGAATATTTTTTATGCCAGAATGTGTTTTTTTAAAACTGATTTTTTAGCATTAAGTGAATGTAATCGTGCTGAATTAAACGTCAAACACCTGAACGACGTCAGAGCATAAATCCAGCTTCTTCTGCTTCCTGAGTCCTCCTCACCGCCTCACGCTCTGCAAATCTGAGAACTCCTCAACAGCAAAGTCGAGTCGAACATTAAAGAAACTCTTCCTGGATTAACTGATAATTAGTCTTTAAAGCAAGTTCATGGTCAAGTTGGTTGTTTTCTCTGTTTTGCTGTAAATAATCTGGACTATTAGTTTGATGAAACCGTCTCAGTTTGTCCTTTCTGTGAACGTTCACGAGCAAAACAATAATAATAATAATAATACTAATATTAATAATAATAATAATAATAATAATGATCTGCGCCATTTGCAGAAGCTCCAGTAACATAATTAGAGCAGACGATGACGACGTCTCAGGAGGAAACTGGGAATGGAAGCCAGATGGCCTCGCTGGTCGGAGGAAGATGAACTCGGATGACCTCCGTGTTCAGGCCGCCCGGCGCCCTGACGGGTCCGGAGTTGTTCTGGACCGTCGGCTTCGTCCTGTGATGAGGCTTTTCTGAACTCTGCAGTCAGCACCAAGCCGGTTCAACAAAGCCGGGCTTTGTTAAACCCAACAACTGCAGTCAAGCTCGTCTCCACAGGAAGCATTTTATCAGCTCGGGTTTCTGGACTCGTGACAAAACAATCAAAACAAACCTATTTTCATGGTGATGTGGAGGATTTTAGGTCTAACTCTGGGACAGGTTCAGTCTTATTCTGGGTTTTTTTGGGGGGAAAGTAAAGAACAAACATAAAAGCCAACAGTTAACCTACTAAACAAAAGACCAACACAGCTGCTGAAGAACGTTATTCTGGTGGGTTTACCTGAACTAATAATCCTGGTGACTCTCTTTACTTCAACTCCTGCGTAATTTAAACTAATTTCCGCATTAACTGATAAAAATCGACTTTAAAAATTGTCGTAACTTGAAGTGAAATTGTTTTCCTCCACCTTGAGCTCAGGATTAAACACATTTCAAGGCGAGCATCAAGTCTTATATTCAATAATAATAATAATAATAATTTTAACCGTGATCCGATAAAGAAAGTTGAACCTCCTCCAACAGGCCTTTATCTGTAATTTACGGTGCAATTAATTCAGTTTTTAGAACTTATTTGTGTTGTTTTTTTTAAATAACGTGAAAAATAACAGCTGAAACGACAGAATTTCTAGAAGAATCCATCTGAAAACTTTTAATTTAAACTTTAATTAGAACAAAAACGACAAACAGTTGATTTGTTTTTGTTGAACATCGTTTTTTTAGAGCGCAGGAGAAGGTCAGCAGATCAGGAGGTTCGTGGTAAATGAATTAAAAACACACGATGATGTGATTATTTAGTCAACACGGTTCAACGTCGCTTCATTAGAAGTTCTCTGAACTCATTGAGCTTCTGTTGATGTCGACTTTCCCCCAAACCGCCGCAATTTAAAGGTTTTTTTTACAAACAGCTGATGGACGGATACTTCAGGTGTGTTTACCTGCGAGACGCCGACTAAACAAAGGAGGCTGCTTTAGCTTTAGCTCTGATCCAGAGTCAATGAGGAGCTGATGCTTCAGCCGCACAATGAATCGTCCATCCATCATCTATACACCGCTTAATCCTCATTAGGGTCGCGGGGGGGCTGGAGTCTATCCCAGCCGACTTAGGGCGAAGGCAGGGGACACCCTGGACAGGTAACCAGTCTATCACGAAAAGAAAAACCAGAGAAGCTCTCATTTCTATGCTATCGCCTCCGTCATCCTTCAGCATCACCAAACCTCCTCAAACCTCCGTCCGTCCAAACACCGAGAGCCTTTCAGCACAAAAGCATCGTCGCCTCTCTGCTCGTCTAAAACCAGCTGCTGCTTAATCTGACGTTTTCTGATTGAAATCCTGCAAACTCAAACACGTCACCGTCGTTTTATTTCAAAGTAAAATCCTGTTATTTTCACAGATTGTCATTGTTTTGTTAGATTACAGACAGAAAAAGCAAAAAATAAAAAAAGAATTAATTTACTTGTGAACCCGAAAAAAGTCCACGTTAAAAAAACTTTTCTTTTTAAAAAAAAAAAAGTTAACTTTTTTAAAAACTATATTTAAATCGGCAAAAAATAATAGAATATTTTACAGATTTTTTTCTGTTATTTCAAAATAAAAAATATGTATATTAGGAATTTTTTAAAAAATGAAAACACCTTTTTTTGTTTGTTATTTTTCAGATTTTCCTACATTTGGTAAATTACAGAAGATATTGAGTAAAAATCACAGTTAAAAATAAAAAAAAAAAAACTATTAACTGACTGCTAATTGAATAAAAAACAGGCCAAATATTATAATTATTGTTTTTTTAAAATAATTATATTAAAAATTCCACCATCCAAAATGAATGTTTGACGGTAAAATGATGCTGTTTTGCTGAATAAATCAGACAAAGAATCTCTTTCATGTATTTCTTGCTGACGTATTTCCCCACCCAGCAGATCTACAGCGGCTCTAAGCAGACGGTGTGTTTTAGATGTGAAGGTGGTCGCATGTGAAGCCTGTTAGGAATAGATGGAGCTGCAGCGCTCGCCAGCAGAGCCATAACAGGTTGAAATATTTAGTCTGAGCGTCTACAATATTAACTAGAACATAAATCCACGTGAATAATTCAGATATTAAAGTTAACGCGCTACAGTTTGACATGTAATGAAATGTTTTGGAGGGTTTTTTTCTTCTTCTTGCACTTCAGGGGAAAACGGTGTAATGAGATGTTTCTATGAAGTATTCAGACGCCCGAAATCCGGTTGTCTGCCTCCGTCTGCCTCCTCTGGTTCGGATGGAGGCACCGACCTCACCGAGCAGAGCCGGAGCAGCAGCCCGAGGCGAGCTCCGGCTCTGCTCGGTGAGGTCGGTGCCTCCATCCCGTCCCGTCAGATCTCGTTTTTTATAAACGATCAGCTTTATGGTCCCAGTGATGGAGTCAGTGGTGACGTCTCAAACCGCTGCAGCGTGTTCATGGTCAACACATTGAAAGTGAAGGTGAAGCTTCTCTATGGACCAGAACCAGCATCCATCCATCCATCATCTATCATCCATCCATCCGTTCATCATCCATCCATCCATCCATCCATCCATCCATCCATCCAGTAAAAACTCTCTTTGATGACCAACTTTCCAGAGAACCGACCCACAAACATGAACGCCAACCGCCGTCACAAACCGACCCGACACCACAAGGAGCCGATCCCGCCAGGAACCGGCTCCGAGCCAAAGCAGCGCCGTCTTACCTCCTTCTGGTGGTACTTGATGGCCAGCTTGAGCTTGGCCAGGTCGTGACACTGCCGGGGGTCCAGCTCCTCGCTCTGGTCGTTGTCCCGGTGGTTCAGGATGGTCTCCAGCTCCCGGGAGCTTCTGGCCTGGTCCAGGAGGTCCTTGGCGAAGCGCTTGCACTGCTGAGAGAGCTCCTCGTACTCCTGCCGGAACTCGTTCTCCACCTGAGGACGGCGAGACACCAAAATGTCATGTGAGGAATTTAAACGTGATTCATCAGCGACTCTCTGAGATGTTTGTCTTTCTCTTTAAATCCCTGTTGAGCCACTTTCAGCTGGTTTTGAGGCAACAAAATCTCAGAAACTACTGAAGATAAAAACCTGAAATGTTCACACTTATGTCTCATCATGTCGTTAATTCAGAACCTGACACATCAGCCACATGAGAGGAACCGTGTGGAACCGGTTCTGCTCTGTTTCTGAGCACCTTGCTGAGTTCTTTGAGCTCCCAGCCCAGCCTGAAGGCGGTGAGGATGGGGTCCTCGCTGGACAGGGCGATGAGCGACGGCGACGCCAGGGCCTTGTAGATGTTGAGTCGGGAGCGCGAGTGTCGGAGGCTGTCCACCTGCAGACACAGACACCACAACCACCACCATCATCATCATCATCATCATCACCACCAGGTGAGCAGCGGCGCCACCTGCAGCCTCGACCAACAGAACAGGTTGGACCCAGCAGACGGCTGTTTTGTGTCTCTTTCAGGTCGTTCTGATTCTTTTGGTGGATGTATTTTGGTCATTTTGTGTGTCTGGTTTTCATCTCCTTCCTATTTGTTTCAACCTATTTCACACATTTCTGTTGTTTCGTGTCACATCTGGACAGTTTTGAATCTCTTTGTCGGCATCCAGCCGGGTTTTGCTCGTTTCCTGTCCTGTACTGTCGGTTAGTTTAGAGTCATTAATGGAGAGTCTCCGTCAGGCTGGACCGGTTGACGGTTGTGAAGACGTGGAGAAGTTCACACGTCTGGTCCTCCTGCTGCCGGGTGAAGACACCGACCATCGTGTGATTGGACGCTGCAGCCTGAGCGGCTCATTAACACCAAAACGTGAAGCTAAACTCTCCGTCTAGTTACCGTTTACTGAACCAAACCTTGTGTTCAGGCTGCTCTTGTTTCTTTAAACTCTGGTTTCAGGCCTCACAGGACCGACTTCAGAGCATCACGGTGCGTTCAGACGTTGATTGTCACTCACCTCTGAGCTGGACACGCACTCGACACAGTCGCAGCGGATCTGGTGAGGTCTGGGGATGGTCACCTGCACGGAGCAGCAACACAACACATCATGAACTTCACAGTCTTCAGTAAACCTCCTAAACTTCTCATCTAACGAGGACCTCGAGTGTTTTCACCTTCCGCTGGACGAGCAGCTTGATGATCTCGTAGTTGTTGGTGTGAGCGGCGAGCATGATGGGGGTGATGTCGGGGGTGAACTCGGAGAACTGGCTGTCCATCATCAGCGACGGGACCTGCAGAGGAGCACAGCAGAACCTGAGCTGAGCAGGAAGCACTGGAGCACAAAGAGCTATTAGCCATTAGCGGCTCTGATGGAGCGGCGCTACGCGAAGGCAACGACTCGGAGACGAATTAGCCCAACGGCGAATCGAATTAAAGCCACTTCAATCAGATTAAAGCTGATTTAATTAGTGCGTTTGATAGAAGGAGTTTCCTGCGGAGGGACGTTTATTTAAACCACCTGCTGGAGCCGCCATGAGGACGAGAGTTCATTCAGGAAACATGGAGCAGCTAAAGGGCCAGTCCGCGACATGCTGGACGTCGGTGTCGCTCCAAAATTACACAGTTTGTCAAAACAGTCTGCAGATTTCCAATTGTCCTCGAACTACTCGTCAGTTTTGTGCTGTTTGATGGAAAATTGATCCAAAGCTTAAAATTCTCACGTTTCATCAGAATCTCATTTAAAAATCCACCAAAAATAAGCTGCTTCAAATAAAAGGAAGACATCTGAGATCAAGAAGTCGTCACTGACCAACAAACACGAGGCAGAAGTTCAGGGACTTACTGAGATTATTCTAAACACATAATGTCTGATTTCTGTCCGTCTAACTGGGTTCTCTCTCCTGCTTCATGTTCTGGTTCCTCAGAGCTGCAGGACTTTAAACATGAACCTCAGAGAAGATCAACAAGAAAACACCACCACCAACCACGAACAGCTCCTTTAGTTATGAGAGAATTTAAAATCTTGACCGACACCGGAGCCACAGAGGAGCGACTTTAAATCATTTTACATCAAATTAGGTTAAAATAAAACCGTGAATAATCAACCAGGACGGTCCAGAACCACTGAACCCACTTTCAGAACCCACCAGCTCCTCCTGGTTTATGTGTAGCGTGTATGAGCAGCAGCGGGCGGTTCAACGACACAGCAGCCACTTCCTGGAGTCTGCTGGTTGCCTGGCAACCGCACAACAACGTGAGCCGAGTGCGACAGTTCAGCGGGCGGCGACCACGTCAGTCAGAGCAGCAGAACAGAACCGTCCTCCATCGAGCGCTCGGACACAAACGTCTGAACGCGTCTCACTGGGATCAAATCAGGTGGAGCCAAAGAAACAAAAATGAAAACGCAAAAATCCCGTAAACCTAAAAGTTATGTCATTTTTTTTAAACAGACTTTTCCAAATATGTATTAAAATAAATGAACATCTTAATAAATGTACAAAAACAGACAAATCTTCAACGTATATGTTAAAGAAAAAATTAATAATTGAAAGCCTGTAACTGTAAAAAACCAGGAATTTACTTTTTAAACATATTTTCATCAAATTTTTAGTTTTTTTTCTGTCTCGATTGTGTTTTGCTTTGAAATACGCAAAAATATCAGAAAAAGTACAGAAAACAATTTGTATTTCTGCTATAAAACATCCAGACATCAGTCTCCCCGTTCTTATCATCACTGGTTCTTGTTTTCACATCAATCTGTCTTCTTATTTATCAGGTGAGCCTTTAAATTCAAGTTGCTTTGTGTCAGTAGGATCCTCACATCAGGTCAAATCAGCATCATTTCACAGCATACATGTTAAAGTCACCTTTTAATCAGTGCTCATCTGTCAAAATACAGTTTTCTATATCATATTATCTGTATCATTTATGATTACATCTATCTATGGATATATATGAATGTACAATATGTCATTTTCTTTGTGGATCCAAAACACGGTTCTGAGCTGCAGCTTAACGGAACCAGAACACGGAGCAGACCGAGAGAGAACTTTCTTTCTCTTCACACATCAAAGGGGCTGAAAACTTCTCTCCATCTTCTTTCTCCTGCCCTCTCTGCCTCCATCGGTCCTCCTTCCTCAGGTGAAGCTCGTCCTCCTCGTCCCTCCTCTCGCTCACTCCTCCCGACACGAGGAGGCGAGGAGGAGGGACGGCGGGAAGATTGAGGAGACGAAAGGCAGCTCGCAGAACCTTCGACCACTTTCTAACCCGCACAAAGATAAAACAAGTCCCAGTTCTTGGATGTTCTCTCCCAAGCTGAACGTGACTGATGTGGGATTCAAGGAGCCCAGAAAGGCAGAAGCCAAAACAAAAGCTGAACCCCTGAACAGCTGCTAACGGATCTAAAATTTATTTCAGGAAGTTTGTCAAAATTACACCGTTTATTAAAACCGGAAAGTCTAAAAACAGGACAGACAGAACGTCCGACCTCTGGTTTCTCAAAGCTCTCAAAGCTTCGTTCTGAACATCTCGTTTCAAATTAGCTAAAAGTAAACGGCGTGCACGAATCGGATTCTGTAGAAAACTAAAAACTCTGCAGAAGAAGAAGAAGAAGAAGAAGTGAGACTTGGACAGAAGCGCAGAGCGAGGAACAGACAGGAGATTCAAACTGAACAGAGACGCAGCGAGAACCAGTTTGTTCCCGTCCACGTCCAGCTGAGAGGCAACCAAAACCTTCCCACAATCCTCTGCTCTGGGCCAAGGAGCCGGTTGCCATGGCGACGTGGGACCTCGCAGCGGTCCAGGAATTGATGTGGAAGAAGGAGGAGAAGACTCTGTTTTATTAAAGAAGAGCAACATCCTCGCTTCCTTCCCTCCGTCTCTCTGCTCACTCTGATGAACTTCCTCTGGATCCTCCTTCGTTCACGTCTTCTTTTACCCTCAGACACACTCACAGAGGACCAACACGCCGTCTGCCTCTACATCCTACTTCACAGCCGTTTCATTCTCATCACCATGAACGCGAGCATCACCTGCTTCTCGCCGCTGGGCCTCCGGTGCGACAGCAGCAGCTCCACGGCGCCGACCACCTCCTTCCTGATGGCGTAGAGCAGCGCGTCGCCCGTGTGGATGCCGTGGTCCAGCAGCAGCTCCATGATCTCCAGGTTCTCGTTCTCGATGGCGATGAGCAGGGCGCTGCGGCCCAGCGGGTCCAGGCAGTTCACGTCCATGTTGTAGTAGACCTCGGCCTCCCGCAGGGCGTGTTTGACGCCCGCGTAGTCGCCTGCACGGAGAGGAGGAGCAGCTTTTAGTCAGCAGATTTTAAATATCCATCATTTGTACAGTAAGATCGTCTGAAGCAGAAGGCCCTGGAGGTGGAACAACCTTCAATATTCTACATTAATTCACATTAGTGGGTAGAAATCTGTTCACTTTGGCATGAAGGAGACTTTTTTTTTCGTATTGTCTTGTTAAAAACTCAAACAAACTAATCGATTGTGACTAAATGTTAAAAAGCAATAAAAAGACTTGAATGTTTTTGACTTTAATGCTAAAACAAACTGAAGGAGCCTCATTTTTCTACGATTTCTGCATCAGTCAGCGTCGGTTCAGACAGAAATCAGAAAACATGAGGCTGAACCGACTCAGAATTACTCGAACCTCCATAAACGTGTAAACCAGGGATGAAAAACAAACGTCTACGCTGCGTTTTGAGAATTTCACGCCTGGGAAATTCACCATTCCTCAGTCGTCTCCGCTGAGGAGCTGAATTCAGGGTTCAGTGTCTCCAGAAATAAAACTCTCACAGCCGTGAAATGTAGCGAGGACACGGACAGAAGAGTCTCCAACCAATCAGAAAGCTCCTGTCAGTCTGTATATGTATGGATGGATCCATGGTTCTCCAACTGTTGAGGCTCTAACATCAGCAGAACCTGATGTGGTGAAGTTGGACCAGAC